AGCAGGGGTTGCAATCCTAACCTCTGATAAAATGGACTTCAAACAAACAAAGATCAAAAGAAACATGAAGGACACTACATAATAATAAAACGATCAATCTAACAAGAAGAGTTAACTACCCTAAATATATACGCACCCGACACAGGAGCACCCAGATACACAAAGCAAATTCTTAATGACCTAAAACAAGTTTTAGACTCCCACACAATAATAGTGGGAGACTTCAGCACTCCATTGTCAATATTAGACAGATCAACAAGACAGGAAATTAACACGGACATCCAGGACTTGAATGCAGAGCTGGAACGAGCAGACCTAATAGATATATACAGAACATTCCACCTCAAATTCACAGAATATACATTTTTGTCAGCACCACATTGCACTTACTCTAAAATTGACCACATCATTGGAAGCAAATAACTGCTCAGCAAATGCAAAATAACAGAAATCATAACAGTCTATCAGACCACAGTGCAATCAGACTAGAACTCAGGATTAAGAAACACACTCAAACCCACACAAACACTTGGAAACTGAACAACTTGCTTCTGAGTGTCAACTGTATAAACAATGAAACAAAGGCAGAAATAAAGGTGTTCTTCAAAACCAATCAGAATGAAGACACAACTTACCAGAATCTCTGGGACACCTTTAAAGCAGAGTTGAGAGGGAAATTTATAGCAATAAATGCCCACATAAGAAACAAGGAAAGATCTCAAATTGACACCCTATCATCAAAATTGAAAGAGCTAGAGGAGGAAGATCAAACAAACTCAAAAGCTAGCAGAAGACAATAAATAACTAAGATCAGATCTGAACTGAAGGAGATAGAGACACAAAAAACCCTTCTAAAAATCAGTAAATCCAGGAGCTGCTTTTTGAAAAGGTCAACAAAATAGACAGACCACTAGCCAGACTAATAAGAAAAGAGACAAGAATCATATAGATGCAATAAAAAAAAGATAAAGGGGACATCACCACTGATCCCACAGAAACACAAACTACCATCTGAGATTACTACAAACAGCTCTATTCACTAAACCAGTAAACCAGGAAGAAATGGATAAATTCCTGGACACTTATACTCTACCAAGACTAAACTAGGAGGAAGTTGAAACCCTGAATAGAAAAATAACAAGGGCTGAAGTTGAGGCAGCAATTAATAGACTACCAACCAAAAAAAGTCCAAGTCCAGATGGGTTCACAGCCGAATTCTACCAGACATACAAAGAGGAGCTGGTTCCATTCCTTCTGAAACTGTATTAGACAATACAAAAGGAGGGGATCCTCCTTAACTCATTTTATGAGACCAACATCATCCTGATACCAAAACCAGGCAGTGACTCCACTATAAAAGAAAACTTCAGGCCAATATTCATGATGAACATGGATGCAAAACTCTTCAATAAAATACTGGCAAACAGATTGCAACAGCACATCAAAAAGCTTATCCATCAGGATCAAGTAGGCTTCATCCCAGGGATGCAAGGCTGGTTCAACATACACGAATCCATAAACGTAATCCAGCACATAAATGGGATCAAAGACAAAAACCACATGATTATCTCAATAGGTGCAGAGAAGCCCTTTGACAAAATTCAACAGCCCTTTATACTAAAAACTCTCAATAAACTAGGTTTCGACAGAACATATCTCAAAATAATAAAAGTTATTTACAACAAACCCGCAGCTAATATCATACTGAATGAGAAAAAACTGGAAGCATTCCCTTTGCAATGTAGCACTAGACAAGGATGCCCTCTCTCACCACTACTATTCAATATAGCATTGGAAGTTCTAGCCAGAGCAATCAGGCAAGAAAAAGAAATAAAGGATATTCAGTTAGGAAAAGAGGAAGTCAAATTGTCTCTATTTGCAGATGACATGATTATATATTTAGAAGACCCCATCATCTCAGCCCAAAATCTCCTGAAACTGATAAGCAACTTCAGCAAAGTCTCAGGATACAAAATCAATGTGCAGAAATCACAAGCATTCCTATATACCAATAACAGACAAACAGAGAACCAAATCAAGAGCGAACTCCGATTCACAATTGTTACAAAGAGAATAAAATACCTAGGAATACAACTAACAAAGGATGTGAAGGACCTCTTCAAGGAGAACTACAAACCACTGTTCAAGGAAATAAGAGAGGACACAAACAGATGGAAAAACATTCCATGCTAATGGTTAGGAAGAATTAATGTTGTGAAAATGGCCATACTGCCCAAAGTAATTTATAGATTCAATGCTATCCCCATCAAGCTACCAATGACCTTCTTCACAGAACTGGAAAAAAAACACTCTAAACTTCATACGAAATTACAAGTGCGCCCAAATAGCCAAGATAATCCTAAGCAAAAAGAACAAAGCTGGAGGTATCACACTGCCAGACTTCAAACTATACTACAAGGCCACAGTAATCAAAACAGCATGGTACTGGTACCATAACAGAGACATAGACCACAGAACAGAGGCCCCAGAAGCAACACCACACATCTACAACCATCTGATCTTTGACAAACCTGACAAAAACAAGTAATGCGGAAAGGACTCCAGTGTTTAATAAATGGTGTTAGGAGAACTGGCTAGCAATGTGCAGAAAGCAGAAACTGGAATCCTTCCTGTCACCTTACACTAAAATTAACTCCAGATGGATTAAAGATTTAAACATAAAACCTAACACCATAAAAACACTAGAAGAACACGTAGGCGAAACCATCTAGGACATAGGCATAGGCAAGGACTTCATGACCAAAACACCAAAAGCAATGGCAACAAAAGCCAAGATAGACAAATGGTTTCTGGTTAAAATTAGAGCTTTGGTACAGCAAAAGAAACCATCATTAGAATGAACCGGTAACCAACAGAGTGGGAAAAAATTTTTGCAATCTACCCATCTGACAAAGGGCTAATATCCAGAATTTACAAAGAACTAAAACAGATTTACAAGAAAAAAACAAACAACCCCACTAAAAAGTGGGTGAAGGATATGAACAGACACTTTTCAAAAGAAGACATATATGAGGCCAACAAACATATGAAAAAATGCTCATCATCACTGGTCATTAGAGAAATGCAAATCAAAACCACATGGAGATACCATCTCACACCAGTTAGAATGGCGATCATTAAAAAATCTGGAGAAAACAGATGCTGGAGAGGATGTGGAGAAATAGGAACACTCCTACACAGTTGGTGGGAGTGTAAATTAGTTCAATAATTGTGGAAGACAGTGTGGCGATTTCTCAAGGACCTAGAAATAGAAATTCCATTTGACCCAGCAATCCCATTACCAGGTACATACCCAAAGAACTGTAAATCGTTCTACTATAAAGACACATGCACACGCATGTACATTGCAGCCCTGTGTACAATAGCAAAGACCTGGCACCAACCCAAATGCCCATCAATGATAGACCAGACAAAGAAAATGTGGTACATATACACCATGAAATACTATGCAGCCATAAAAATCAATGAGTTCGTGTCCTTTGTAGGAACTTGAATAAATCTGGAAACCATCATTCTCAGCAAACTGACACAAGAACAGAAAACTAAACACCGCATGTTCTCACTCATAGTTGGGTGTTGAACAATGAGAAAACGTGGACTTAGGGAGATGAGCATCAAACACTGGGAGCAGTTGCTGGCGGGTAGGGGAGGGACAGTGGGGTTGGGGAGGGTGGGGAGGGATAACATGGGGAGAAATGCCAGATATAGTATACACCTAAATTAAAAAAAAAAAGAAATTAACAAAGAAAGGTATTAAAAGGTTAAGACATAGTTTGAATAAGGAATAAAGAAGTTTCAAAATTTTCCATTTGGCTATTGGTTATATGAAAGGGGCAATTTCAAAGCATATTTGTAATTATGACTACTTTGAAAACATTCTCCAGGTTCTTGGAGACTGGAGATAACTGGAATGAAGACAGCTGTTTTCAATGTCATCATAGTAGTGCAATTGTTTCTGGTCATCCTTGCTGTTTTGGAACAGAGTCATTTGATGGGTTTCTCGTGCTCACATCCTACCTCTTCTGCAGCAGTAGCATCATAATATAGTTATTATTTATGAGACTGTTATGTAATTGCACCTAATATTTGCATAGTATGTATTTATCCCAAGTCTATTATGCAATAATCAACATGTACTACTATTTAACATTCCTTATAGCAGGTCTATGAGGTAGATACTATATTTTTTCCCGTTTCACAGATGGGGAAACAAAAGCAAAGAGAATTTAGGTAGTTTGCCCAATGTGAAAACTTATATATTACAGGGCTGAGATTTAAACCCAGGCAGTCAGGTTCTAGACGGTGCTCTTATTTGCTATGCTGCACTGCCTATGACCAAACCCTCTAATAGGTGCTATAGTAATCTTCACAAGAACCTGACAAGATACGGATTATTGTCTTCATTTTTATATGATGAGACTGAAGAAGGAAATTGCCAAAAGTCATAGCATTAATAAGCGAAAAAGGTAGGATTCAAACTGGGTTTGGGTGAATCCAGTGCCTGTTTTCATTACCCAACACTCTGTTGTACTGAATTTTAGGTAACATATCCTCTAGGCAGGAATTCCTGTCGGAATACATAAAAAAATAATGCAAATATGTAATATGATTTAGAAAGATTATTTTTCTTTCAGGAGATCTATATTTTAAACATATTTTAAAGCACATTTGAATAGGAATATACTTAATACTTGGTAACAATACCTTCTATTTATAAATACAAGATTGAAAAAGCCACATGTTTCTTAGCTAGTGCCCAAAGGGAATACTGAGAATAACAAAAATAAAAGTCATCTCAGTAAGTTAAACCACAGACTTAAGCTACAGCAATTTTAGAGCAAATTAACTGTTATGTTTATTATTTATCCTCAGTTAACTAATATTAGAAACTCTTGTATGTGTGACATACACAAATAAATGGAATTAGTATTTAAATCAATGGTTACATCAAGTCTAACAAAGTGTGTATTTTTTTTTAGGCACAGTTTCAATGAAGAATATGTTGTTGAATCAAAAAGATAATTGGACCATTGATCTTAAATCTTTCGTAGGTGATGCTGAGAAGAAATCTCCATGTAAACTCAAAGCTAATGACCTAGTAGGATGTGTGCTTCAAGGTTTTCCAGTGATATTAAAGAGTTTTTAAGCCATCATCATTCATACTCAGAGGCTTCTGGCGTCTTGAACTACCCGTTTGTATGACAACTGGCTAACACCAAATTGCGGCGAACTGGATGAAACCAACTTGGCTGCCATATAAATTTACCTTTTGGCTTCACATTTCTTGTGACTATTTTTTATTCAACTCAGAATATCTTTTGATTTTATTAATTTATTTAGGCTGCTTGTGCGATTGTGAATAAATTTTTTAGTCTTAGTCATTTGCTATGTATATGGTAAAGAAAGCCGCATACTACTTTCACCTGGTTTTTTATCTTTTCTTTTCTTTTTTTTTTTTTTCTTGGAAGAGTAAGTTGAATTAACGCTTTTAAAAAAAGTGTTAGAAGATTTTTTTTTTAAAGAAACCACAGTTTGCCTGTTCAAGTTTGAGCCAACTCAAGTTCTCTTTGGGTAAAAGCCAAGTTAAAATATGTCTCAAGTTTCTTACATGAAAGAAGCATATAAAGGCAGGAAATTTAAAGACCACCTAGCGATTTTTAATATCACAGGAAAATGTTTGGTTGATTTTTGGTGTTTTTCCCTTTAGAAAAATAGATTAAAAATACTAATAAGGTCGGTTTAGTCTTCCTTTGAAAATGAAAAGGAAAATGAGGGCACGATGTTCACTTAACGATGGATGCATGAAAATGACAGCATCCTGGGGAGCAAAAGCAATGACATAAATGTTTTAAAATGAGGATATTAAATACTTTTTCTTAACATGCTAAAGGCAATGTGTAAAGGGAATAATTACAATGCCTCAAGAGGGTGAAAAGCTGAAGTGGTTTGTTGGAATAGATATTACTGGGATGTATTTTTTTCTGACACTTCCCAAATAAAGGATTCAGTATATGTCAGGTGCTGACTTTTTTTTTTAAAAACTATACACATTTTAATTTAACAGAATATTTATTTTATTCTGTTATTTATCAGGTGGCTGTTTTTGAAGAAATTTTATGTGCCTATACATCTCTGGAAAATTTCACCTTCTTTCTTCTATTTCTAGCTTCGTAACTGCCTCAGTGGTCTTATTCACTTTCTTCAGCCATCTCACACATATCTGGTACACAGAATACTATGAAGCTCCTTATTAAACACAATGTGCAAGTATAGAGATTGGAACTTAAGTGGCACAAAATTCCTTTCTTGGAGTATTGTGGATATCACTAATCTTTTGGATAGCGTTGCTGAGAGCCATGCTTGTCTAAGCTTATGGGCAATCTCTTACAATGGTAAAGAAGTGAAAAACCAAGTTAAGAAAAAAATTGAATTAACTTTCATATCTCTATTAATGGGTAAATAACTTCTATCTGAACTTCTCAACTTCTATCTGAAATTGTTTCTTTCTGAAACTTGCTCTTAATTTCACAGCAACTAAGGATTCCCTTAAGACTAACTGGTACTTGTAAAGTTCCATTAAAAAAATGAACAAAATAATAACATAATCACTCTTTAAAAAACAGTTGGCTATTGACAACAAAATATTTGGTGAAGTCTCTGTACAAAATCATCATCTCATTTTGTCTTGTAATACATGCCACATTCATCTTTGAGTTGATACATACAGTTGTTGGTAGGTCTAAACATTGAGATCTAACATTAATGACTGAGCTTGAAATCATACTCTAGAATTTGATGATGAGCTCACATAAGCCCATTTATGTTGGAGGAAAGGGGAAATGGGGAAGAATCTCCACCAGCAGAGACAGTACACAACATACTTTCATGCACACTCACAATTTGTGATCATCATGCCCAGACCAAAGAAAAGTTTCCCAACCTCTCTCTCATTTCCTCCTTTTATAGCAGATTATTTTATAGGCTTAAACTAGCTTTTTATCATAGCTGCATTACTTGTTAATGCTAGCTCAATAATACTCTGCTTGACTCTGGTGTAAGCACTTCAGAGGGGAAAGGGGGCAGGGTGTAAAAAGAAAACAGCATCATCATACCTTCAATTCACATATGTGTAGTAATTACACACTTTGTGGGGAGAATTGAGAAGTATATTAATACATTCTTTGAGAATTCTTTTCAATAGTAGGCAGGCTGTTTTACCTTTGGAATATTCCATGTGTCATTATTTTTCATCCTTAGCTTTCCTTTGGGATGCAATCATTGGCAGTTCGACAACTTTCACATCAAAGTTTTCAAGTTGAGGGAAGTCATTTAAGTAAGCTTAACCTAAGTAAGTACTCATTTTCACTAAATATTTAAAAGAAAAAAGTCAATTATCTCTTAATACAAAGGTGTGTGTTTAAAATATTATCAATGAATGTTCACACATTAGCCAGAGAGAATCTTCCTGGCATGAGTCCAGGCTGTCTGCATGAGTGAAAAGAGAACATTTTGTATTCTACCTGCCAGGTGAGAATCTGAGTCATACTTTCCCAAGTGGTGTTTTTGGAGACAGAGCCAATGAGAAATTTAAGCTGTAGAAGTTCCTCCTTGCTAATATAATGCATAAAATATTGACAGAGTGTGTAATATGAATGGTTTTTAATTCCGAGATATGGTTATAAGGATTTAATAACCAATCTAGGGGAACACTAGCTAATTTAGAACATAATTCTTGGAGGAGTTTGTTATGCCCTTAGGGCTCTGGCTTTGGAGAGACCTTTGATAATATTTAGCATTTCTCCATTGAGACTCTTAAGTAGCCCGATCTGGGTAGCTTTGTGTTTGGATGTTTCATTTCATTAAAACATTCCTTTTCTTATTAGCATTCCCAAGTCTTTCTAGTAGTTATAGAATGTGATTGGCTTAATAAAAGGTTTTCTAGGAGACAGCTCAATCCATTAAATGGGATTTTTATGTTCAAAATTAACATTTAAAATATGATATTTTGAAATCATTGAATGAGATGAATGAGTTAAACAGGCTGCATGTTTAAACTAACATTTTGACTATGATTTTCAAATTCAAAGCTTTACTTGTTTTGAAGTAAACATAACTTGGGTGATTCTGCTGCTTAAATTATTTTCTACTCTTATCTATGCTTTAATCAAACTCTAATAGTTACAAATCTTCACAATTGTTATTCATCATTATTATGAGGGTCTCAGATTCAGTAAACTGTATACATATTCACCCGATTCTTCCCATTTTTAGTGTGAGACCACAATTGTTCACCTTTCTTTTGAAGCCTAATTTCAACTCAAACATCACAGTCCAGTAAGTGAAAAAAGTTTTCCATTTGCTACATCAGTGACAGACAATTCTTCTTAAGCCCCTTTATTTATTGTATTGCCTTGCTTAAATAGGCTTCCAGTTGCATATACCTTTAAACCAAGTATTAGCCTGACCCCTAAATACTTCTATTATATGACGTCACTCTGCCTTTTCAAACTTATTTTTCATGAGTCTTCTATAAGGAACATGTACCTTCAACAACATAAGCTATTCACTGTCCCTAGAGTACCCTGCATACATCTGTACATGTATGCTTTTGTTTTACATTTTACCCAGCCTTCATGATCTTCCTTTCCCTTTATATATACTCATTACTTTATTAAAGCCACCATAGAAACCACTTTTTCCTAGTATCTCCCCACATGTCCTCTGCTCACAGCTTTCTCTTTCCTCACTTTGGATTTCGGTGACTGTTATGGCCTGAATGTCTTTGTCCCCCTCCAAATTCATATGTTGTAATTCCAGTTTCCAATGTGATGGTCTTAGCTGATGGGGTCTTTGGGAGGTGATTAGGTCATGATAATAAAGTGCTCAAGAATGGGATTAGTGGCCTTTTAAAAGGGACCCCAGAGAGACCTCTCATCTTCTTTTCGCCTGTAAGGGTCCAATAACAAATGAAAGTTTGCAGTGCAGCAGAGAGTCCTCACCAGAGCTTGACTATGCTGGCACCCTGATCTTGGAATTCCCATCCTCCAGGGCTGTAACAAATAAATTTCTGTTGTTTATAAGCCACCCAGTCTACGATATATTGTTATAGCCATTTGGACTGACTAAAACAGTACTATTCACTGTTTACCCAATAATATTCAACAGGCAAATATACACTAAATGTATTTATACATCTATTTAAATGTATCATTTCTTTTCTTGAGTATAATAGGCTTCTTAAGGGCAAAAAGGCTGTCTTATATGTCTTATTCATAATATAGCATACGATACCAGCTCCAGAGAAGGCACTCAATGTTTGTTGAAGAATGGAAGGAAGGCAGAAATGAAGGAAGGAAGGAAGGAAAGAAAGAAGGAAGAAGGAAGGGAGGAATGAAGGGGAAAGAACGAAAGGGACAGTATGGGGGGAGATTTTTCTCTTATAAACAGGAATGTAACTTTTTGAAAGATAAGGGTCATGTCTTTGTGTAAAAAGAAATTGTGAACATTCATTGCAAAATGGTAGATGCTCAAACATTCATTCATTCTTTGTTAAGTTCTTCCTTTTCTGTCTCTATGAGGGATTTTGCTGTTTGCCTCATCATATCAAAATTTTGAAAACAGTTTCTTCTCACCAAGTTTTGGGGGAATATTTGTTGATTATGTTATCCATCTCTATATCTGCATTAAAAAATGAATGTCTCTCTCCTCTAGTATTCTCATCATGAAATATATTTTTAATTAAGATATCAAATTAGAATTTCTAAATCAAATTCTAAAGATTAAGTATATATATTATATATATATTATATTTATATACACATAGGCTTACATATATATATAAAATCTTTCTTAGATGATTTTGAAATATATATATATATGATTATTCATGTATATACATGGATAAGACAAGCCTCAAAATAAACTTAATCCTTCTGTGATGACAGATACCTACTTTTTCAGTGCCAAACAATAGCTATTTACATCTATACTGAAATATATTTACGATGGGTGTATATTTCTATCTAAGTGATCTGGTAGTCTGTGTGCATTCATTCTATATATTTTTTCTTCCTCTCTGGCCAGTACACAAGCTTAGCAAAACAGCATATATTTACCTTTCTCTTTAACGTTATCTATTATCAATGAGGTAATAGGTTTGCCAGTCAATCTGCCTATAAAAAGTGGTCAGAGATAAAGTAAATTGTTCTAAAAATATTTCTACCAAATCTGTATACAATGCCATGTTAGCGAGGGTACTCTCAACAGAAAGTAATAGAAAATTCAGGAGCCAGGCATGGTGGCTCATGGCTATAATCCCAGCAACTCAGGAGGCTGAGGCAAAAGGATCACTTGAGCCCAGGAGTTGAAGACTAACCTGGGCAAAATAGCGAGATCCAGACTACACACAAAATAAAAAATTAGCTGGGTGTGTTAGCATGTGCCTATTAAGTCCTAGCTACTAGGAAGGCTGAAGCTGGAGGATCCCTTGGGCCCAGGAGTTCAAGGTTACACTGAGCTATGAGCTGTGATCACACTATTGTACTATAGCCTGGGCAACAGAGCAAGACTTTGTCTCAGGAAGGAAGGAAGGGAGGGAGGGAAGGAAGGGAGGGAGGGAGGAAGGAAAGAAGGAAGGAAGGAAGGCAGGCAGGCAGGCAGGCAAAAAAGAGATAAAAGTGGCTTACACATTAGAGCTGACTAGTTTAGTGCTCAGTGACAGTCCTTGTGTTTTTCTTCTCCATGTTCATTTCTTCCATGCTAGCCAGACTGGCTATCTCCTCTCTATGTTGCTGAAACTCTATCACGTTCTATTCATTGATGCCAGAGGAAGATAAATAACAATTTCTTCCTTTGGGATTATTTTTAGAATATTAAAAGTGAAGAATCTTTTCTCCAAACTCCTTTAACACTATTTGTATTTCTACTAGTTTTATTTCTCCCACAATTAGGATCTGGGACATCAGAGACATTTGTGTTGTGTTCACTGCTGTTTCCCTAGCACCTAGTTCCTGCTGTGTAGTAGGTGCTCAGTTAATACTTGTGGAATCAATAACTGAATATATAAATGTCTTAATGGCCAAAACTGGATTGCATGCCCTTTACCCAAGCCAACTGTGGAAGATGAGACCTTTATGATTGTCTGTGACCTTTCAGAGTTTATCTGAGTTAAATGGAAAAGTAGGCCCCAGAATGAATTTGGGCCATGGCAGCATAAAAAACAAGCACATGACTGTTAGGTTGACAATACACATGGTGTACTATAAATGTCTGGATTAGGGATTTTGCATGGGAGCAGAAGTCAGCATTTGCAGTAGGTTTTGAGTAGAGTAGGGTTAATAACAAATGCGGCAAGTATGAGCCAAAAAGTAATAAAATATTTTTCCAGCCTAGGAAAGAAATGAAACAACATTGGACGTGGTAACATTGGACAAGTCATGCAGCTTGAGATTGCCCAATTCTTTTGTGTCTTTATGTACTCTATCTACTTAAGACTTTAAACATGCCTAATGCAGTGTTAGCTATTTAAATCAGTTTCTTGGTAGAACTTGATTTTGCTTGCCTCGTTTTTTGAATACTATGAGGAATGCTCAATCATGCCATTAGAAAATATTACCCAAAGTTACTTGGGAGAAATGAGCTGTCTCATTTGTTTTATTTTTATTTGTTCACATTAAAATTCATCTTTCTAGACTTAGGCATGGACATCCTGTAATAAACTATTTACATCCTGATGCTGCTACCCACTGGATTTGTTACAACTTGCTGTTAGGGACATTAGTGACTAGTATATTGTACATATTTGGACAACTAGCCAATAGGTTTAGGTTTGATGGTGGAATTGATTAATTTGTCCTTTACCAAATTGCCCTTCATTGACCTTGTATTTCTCTTTTTTTAAAATTTCTACCATGAAAGCTTTTGCTAAATACATTTTTGCAAAATGTCAGGGCTTCAGCAATGGCCAGATAGATTACTTTGTTAAAGAAAGAAAAAAATAAATAGATTTTCACCTTTTGAAATCTATAGTTCTGTTTAAATTTTTGTTTTGTTTCAAACAAGGGATCCTGTAAATAATCAGTCCTAGAATCTTGTTCAAGTTTGCTCAGTAAGCCTAGACCCAAATTTTGCAAAATTTCCCTTTTTACCGGTTTGAACCTGAAACCTAAATTTGTTTGTTTATAGAAAACATGATTTATTTCATTCTCCACATTTCCTCAAAGGCTTCAAGCATGACTCAACAGTCTTATCTGGCATTTTAAAGAACTTTTGGAAAGATCTCAAACATATTTTGAAGGGCTAATTCTTCTCCCTTACTTTAGGCTTTTTAACCTTTTGGCCAAAATTCTG